AACTATTATGATCAGGGTTTAGGGTTTAGGGTTTAGGGTTTAGGGTTTAGGGCTTTAGGGGTTTAGGGTTTAGGGACTCCAATATCCCTTAATTAAGGAATATACCTTAAAATATAGTAGGATCCCTAACATGATTTAAGGTATATTCCTTAATTAAGGGATATTGGAGTCTCTGGGAAACCTAGCTTTTTTTTAAGGATCCTTAAAACTATTATGATCAGGGTTTAGGGTTTTAGGGTTTAGGGTTTAGGGCTTTAGGGGTTTAGGGGTTTAGGGTTTAGGGTTCTATAAGTCCTGAAAAAGGTAGATTATTTGGGGTTTAAGGTAAACCTTAGACTACCCCAAAGCCTTAGAAACCCTAAACCCGAATTTCAGCGCAATCCAAAGTCGCATGAAGTCGAAGTTCAAATTTTGGGATTGGGTCTGTCTTTCCCTGTTCTTTCGCTTATTTGGGCTTGCAGGAAAAGCACCTGGGATCCGCCGGGGCATTTGTTTGGGGAGCCCTTTGTGATGCCCGCATGAGGTTTCAAAAGCAGCTTACAAACACAGAGTTTACGGACAGTGAGTTTACCTACAGTCTCCATTGTAGTTCCTTTGTGGGGATACCTTATAGGATCCTCAAACACTATAGAACTTGTGACATGTGGATAAAACCAAAAAAGGAACTACGATGGATACTATAATTAATTAGGTAGGAGCTTGCTCGAAGGTCTGGCCGCGCAAGCCCACGAAGGCCGCTCAACTGTGCATCCAAAATCCCGGGTTTAGGGTTTAGGGTTGCGCTAAACCCTGAACCCCAAAACCTATATAAACTCCCTAAACCCTAGAGCCCAAAGCCTAAACCCTAAACCGCAAACCCTAAACTCCCTAAACCCTTACACCCCAAACCCTGCTAAACCGAATCCTTGGTCCTTTGAGCTTTGGGCGCTGGGTCGCTAACCTCGAAACCCGAAAGCCTGGAGTTACGGTATAGGGTTTAGGGTTTTGGGTTTAGGGTTTAGGGGTTTAGGGGTTTAGGGGTTTAGGGGTTTAGGGGTTTAGGGGTTTAAGGTTATAGGGTTTAGGGTTTAGGGTTTAGGGTTTGGGGTTTAGGGTTTAGGAAAGGCCAGGATGGGCACTCCCAGTCCTGCAGAGCAGAAAATGCCAAGAGCACGAGGGGAACCCTAAGGGTCCATGTACTCATATAGTATATACATTGGCCTTAATGTAGTTCCTATTTGGGTACTTTGGTGTCTAAGTATATGCTATATGGGTACATGGACCCTTAGGGGAAGTGAACATCGCCCTCATTGGATGCCAGGAACAAAGGGTCCCAAAAAGCAGTCAGAAAGCCCTGGGCGTACAAGTGGTGGTGGTAGTCCTGGCATTCACTCCCGAGGGTTCGAAGTAGGTGGCGGGACCCACCCGATCCTCTTCACATCGCGCACCCAACTTGCGCGGGCCGGAGCATAGGTCTCCAGCATGACCATATGGGGGTTTCCGAAAACAGAGGACCCTAATATAGTACCCCAAATAATAGGATCCTTATTATAAGGACCCCAACATAAGGTACCCCTTATGTTCGGAAACTCCGATCTACCCCTACCCCGCAAGGCGACTTACAGGCTTCGAGCCGGCCGCCTGCATCCTCCAACTCTCATGGTCGCCCTAAACCCTAAACCCTAAACCCTAATCCCTAAACCCTAAACCCTAAACCCTAAACCCTGAACCCTAAACCCTAAACCCTAAACCCTAAACCCTAAACAGGAAGGCCCGAGGGGTCGGCAGCAGCAAGCTGGACACACCAATGTTGCTGAGGCCCGTATCGGCCAACACACATCCAGTGGTTTAGGGTTTAGGGCTTAGGTTTTAGGGTTTAGGGTTTAGGGCTTAGGTTTTAGGGTTTAGGGTTTAGGGTTTAGGGTTTAGCGTTTAGGGTAATGGTGCTCAGGATCACCGCCACAGAACACAGCAATTGGCAGGCAGAGCGGGAGTGGATCCCTTGGCTCTTGAGGAAATCAGATGCTGCTCAATAGGGTAACTATGTCGGCTCCTATAGTACCTAGAACACTCACTTGACAGCGCCCGTGTAGTAATGTAGAGGCTTGAATAATTTGAACCGGGTTTTGGCGTCCATTATACTATAACTATAATAAGGAGCCCCCAAACCCTATTCTAATTATTAAGGCCCCTAAACCCTAACCCTTATAGCAGCCCTTCTAAGATTCTAGTAACCCTTCACCCTTATGGACCCCTTTTAAGAACCGTTTAAAGGAACCCTATTCTAATTAAGTAAGGTCCTTATATTACCCTTAAACAGACAAGATATCATCATTATATCAAGGAGCCCCCACAACAGTATAGGTAACAATTAAGGCCTTATATTATTTACCCTAAACCCTAAACCCTAAACCCTAAACCCTAAACCCTAAACCCTAAACCCTAAACCCTAAACCCTAAACCCTAAGCCCCAAACCCTAAACCCTAAACCCAAACCAGACTGCACAAAAAACCACGGAACTTCAGCCGACAGGGAACCTCTCGGAGGGCCAAAGCCGGCTGCCACAGCCCTACCTGAACTGAACGGTTTAGGTGGGTTTAGGGTTTAGGGTTTAGGGTTTAGGGTTTAGGGTTTAGGGTTTAGGGTTTATGGCTTACGGCTTCGGGTTTAGGGTTTAGGGCTGAGGAGGGGGTGCTACGGCTTATAGGGCCTACCAGCATTGTAGAGTTTCAGGTCTAGCTACACTATGTAATTGTGGCTCGCATGCCAGGTGTTTAACGGTGCTGTGAGGGTTATAACTTTCACCTTTCCTTACGTGTTGGCTTCGAGTGGGTATACCTAGAAGAGCCCAAACCTCTCAATTTCAAGCACTCGAGAATGGTACGGCAAGAGGCTTGGAGCAGGTTTTGTTCTTACACTGTTTCGGTCCCTAAACCCTAAACCCTAAACCTCTTGGGAGCGGCATCGGCTGCTGGACTTGGGGCTCGCGGTTTGGGCTCCAGAAGTGTCGAAAACCTGTACTCGCCCAACAGCTCGGCAGCCATACGGTCATGATATTCAAAGTATGCTGGGTTTAGGGTTTAGAGTTTAGGGTTTAGGGTTTTGCTGTCCCACCGACCAGCTATCGTAATAAGCCACATTAGCGGCAACATGCTGGCCTCGGATCAGGTGCTGTCGCCTTACGTTTCGAGCTGCCTTCTGTTGGCTGTTGCTGGGCTTGCCAAACCCACAAGCAGAAGCAAGCCAACAAATGCCAAAGCTCCAGAAGCTCAAAGCCCGAATGTCACAAATTTAATGTTTACTTGCAAGGTGTAGCAATAGCTTCAGTATGTGGTTGAATATGCTGTAATTCAAAGAAACCCCGAGTAGATCGTTTACACGCACAATCATGACCTTCCTGCTCTGGGGCATAAACCTTAGTCCTTCCCCACATAAACTCTCAAACAACTAACACCCGCAAACCCGAAACCCCAAACAACTTATAAAAAACAAACCCTAAACCCTAAACCCTAAACCCTAAACCCAAACCCTAAACCCTAAACCCTAAACCCTCCAAACCCTAAAACCCTAAAACCCTGAAACCCAAAACCCCATGAAAACCTGACGAGCCTGGTTCCGAACCCCAAACCAGGCAGCAGGTACACCTTATAGAAGCCCTGGCGAATCCTCGTAATTTCGGGAAATTGAAGATTAGAATAGGGTTTGGGGTTTAGGGTTTAGGGCTTAGGGTTTTGGGGTACTATAAATACCTAAACCCTTAAACCCTAAACCCTAAACCCTAAACCCTAAACCCTAAACCCTAAACCCTTAAAC